CCCACCATTCCCCTCAAAAACAGTTTGCTTCCAAGACTTGTAAAAAAAAAAAAAAACCACATTTAAGAACTCAATAAAAATCAGTGATGGCTGAATACCACAAACTCATGTATGTTGCAAGGTATACGTTATCTCACAGATGAAAGATCACCACTGGCAATGCTGTGATCCTCTCCTCCCTTGGTGTCATACAAATTCTTGGTGTGGGCTGATTTCACACTTCCTGGTGGTCATTTCCGAGGGTGCTCTCTGGCAGCACCTTCATGTTGATGTTCATTTTCAAAAAGGTTGCCCAGTGCATGCCCACAGCACCGTCTCACCATGAGCCATATGTCTGAACTTTCTTCAGAACTTCTGCATCCGACTCTTCTTTCCACACTGTTTTTATAAACGAAGTGACTGCCAAGTTGCTCAGATCAGCTCAAGTGATCATTTTCCCACCTTCCAAACTGATCCTCTTCAAACCCTTTTTTAATTAATTAATTTGTTGATAGAGGGCATCATTCTGTAGCCCAGACTAGCCTAGGACTTCCTATGTGGCTTAAGATTGCCTTGAACTCATAGCAATCTCCCTGTACCATCATTCAAAGTGCCGGGGTTACAGTTGGAGTAAGCATGCCCAGCTTGAAGGATAATTTATAAACTATTTTCTCCTTTCATTTAGTCTTTCTATTACTTTGTACTTTTCTGTTTGAAATTATGAAGTCTTCATTTTCTTTCTAGAGAAAGGACTGTAAATTTTGAGGGTGTTTTTTTTGGGTGGGGTCAGTTGGTTAGTTTGTTTTTGTTTTGTTTTGACACAGGGTCTCACTATGTAGCTCTGGCTGTCCTGGAACTCACTATGTAGACCAGGTTGGCCCCAAACTCATAGAGATCTTCCTGTTTCTTCCCAAGACCACCCCCTACCTCCCATATCTGACTACAGGGATTAAAGGTGTATGCCATCACACCTGGCAAGAATGTGAGTTTTGTACAACTTAAAATCCCATGATTTTAAGTTTTCATTATAAATTTATGTCAAGGAGCTAGAGAGATAGCACAGCAATAAAGATCATTGGCTGCTGTTCCAGAGGATCTGGGTTCAGTTCCTAGCACCAACATAGTAAGTAGCTCACAACCAAAGGTAACTTCAGTTCCAGGGTATCCAAGGCCATATTTTGGCCTCTGTGTGCAGCATGCATGCAAGTGGTACACAGATATACATGCCAGTAAAACACCCATGCATAATAGAATAAAATAGAATAGAATGAAATAAAATGATAAATTAAAATTAAGAAATAAACTAATGTCAGTTACATAGATCCAAAAATATAGTAACATTTCAAGATTCATCATGATGCCTGTGTAACATTTCAGTGCTGTAATCTATTATGTTCCCATGACTGTCTGTTTTAAGATCTTGTACTTATCTAAATAAAGACAGCCAATCATAGTCCAATGATTTCTAAATCATTTGTCTTGGCCCCCTTTGAGCTCACCCTAAGTACTAAATATTTACTTACTCAGTCCTTGCTCTCTCTCATTCAGTCATACATCTTCATCACTGGCCATGGACTAATAGTAGGTCTAACTATTCTCTTTCTCCATCTACAGAGTGGTCATATCCATGATAATGACTTGTAAACTCAGATGATTAAAAGCATCTCATAAAGGGTTGTTTTCTTTTAATGTTCACATCTCTTAACTATAACTGGAGATTTTCATCTAGTTTGGTAGCATTGCATTAGAGACTGTTAAAGCATTCTTTAGAGTATTATCCATCCCTGGTCTATGTCTATAGGAATGCTATCATTTTCCACATTGGTGCTCTTTTTTTTTCCACATAGGGTTCCTCTGCTTAACAGGGTTCCAAGCTGTCCTGGAACTCACTATGTAGATCATGCTGGCTGCAAATTCAAAGAGGTCCATCTGCCTCTGCCTCTGCCTCTGCCTCCTGAGTGCTGGGATTAAAGGCGTGTGCCACTACTGCCCTACTATTGATGCTCTTTTTAAAGCAACTGGAGCATCAGAACTGGTTTTCTTAGCCAATTCATTACATATGCAAATATTTACCTAATCCAGATGAAAACTGACATCAGTTCTTACTGATTAATTATCATTTAATCCTAGAAGTCCTAGGCACTAGTATTACTTATTTTCATTAATTTGTTGATGTCCTAATTGCATGTATAGAAAAAAAGCACTGTGTTGTTTTCCAGTATCTGTTGATTTGTTTGTCTGAGTGCTTGTTTGAAACGTGGTTTCTGTAATTAAACTGGTCTTAGACTTGCTACTTATGTAACAACAGTCGTGACTTTTATCTCCTCTATGCTGGGATTGGAGATGCTGTGATGCTTCTTTAAAAATAATATTTAAATAACAAGTCAGAAGAGTTCATTTACTAATAAGAAGGATTGTTTTTACTTTGCTTATGGTCTGAAATTGCCATTTATCAGCAACTAGAATGTGTACCTGGTAGTGGGGAGACCAAACCCCTGAGTGGAAATGTGATTAAGCCTTGCCAATTTAAGATAAATCCAAGAGTAAAAACTTCCAAGTTTCCTCTGCTTTTCTAAAAATAACTTTCAGGTAATTTTCTGGGTCTTGATCAAAGCAGGATTGTGAGGACTATAAGATTCCATTGGGAAATAATAAGGAATAAAGAGAAGTCTGTGCAGGCATCTCTCTCTTCTCTTTTCCTAGGTCAAAAAGAGATTGGATACGAGACTAATGGTTGGTTAGGAGAGGCTGGGCTGATAACAGAACTACTCATTACCTGATGTGTGCACGTGTGCCTGTACACATGAGTGTGTGCACCTGAGTGTGTGTGTGTGTGTGTGTGTGTGTGTGTGTGTTTTGTTTTGAGCCAATGTTGGTCTTGAATTCCTGACCTACCGGCCTCTGCCTCCTACATGCTGGGATTACAGGTGTGTGCCAAAGTGCCATTTGAAGAAGACTACAATGAAGCTTGCTTTATGAGACCTTTGGTCAATTGCCATCCATTTTCTGGAGAATGATTATTTTCAGAACTCCTGGGATACATGAAAATCATAGAACTGGGAAGAAAGCATCCAAAACAATGTAGTTTTATCTCTTTTCTTCTGCATCCTGAGTGCTTAGTGTTTTGATTCTTGAAGGAGCCTCTCATATTCTATTTAACTCAATTGCTTCCTCTAGTGCTCAAGAACCATGCTTATTTTCTTTGTTTTTATTCAAAACATTACTTCTGAGCCAAGTACAGATTTGATATCAAGCTAACTTATAGTTACACAAAACAACAACCTGAACTAAACCAGGTGTTAGGAAACTTTATCTGACTCGGAAGTAGCACAAAGGGGGTTTTCCTTTGAGCTGCAAGGACATTGTCCCCGGCCATATATAAGGGATGCCTTTCTAGGCCAGAACAGACTGGATTTGTTAACTTTGAATAACATTATGGCACTCCTGCAAGGGCGTGCTGTGCTCAGGTTTCCCAGGCACTTTGTGCTCATAACCATGGTGGTCACCATCCTCACTATCTCCACCTTAAGAAATCACTTTGGTCTTTGCTTTGTGATTTTTGTGGTACTGTGATGGGACCCAGACTTAATGCATGTTTAAAAACTGCTTTACCCCTGAGGTATCTCCAGTCCTTGTGTGTTTTCTTTGGAGACAGGATCTCACTTAACTGCAGAGTTGTATCTTGTACTCACTGTGGTGTATACCTTGCACTTGTGTTCTTCCAGCTTTAGCCTCCAGAGTACCTGATGTTACAAGTTTGTGCTACCAGGGCTAGCTATAATTCACGTTTATTGAATGTCAGAGTTCAGCATTTGTTCAGTGCTTTTGTGTGCACTAACTCACTAGTAGATACTATTCAATATTACTAGACAAATAACATGTCTAGGAGCCTCGTGTTACATGTAAAAACAAACCTGACACATAGCTAGCCTCTTGGACTTTTGACTAAGATCATGTGTACAAAATTGCCTGAGATCACCTTTAAAATATAAACACAGAAAGTGGATCTCTAGGGCATGTGCTGGCAATCACCTAGGCTGTACTGGTTATCTTTATCCTACCTCTGATGAATTTCACACAGTACAAGTAAAGAATACCACAATTTTCATAATCAATGACATCTTGGGTTTCCCTCAGTTCATTAAAATCACATGGTTATTGTAAAAAGGTAGTCTCTTCATAAAGAGGACATAAAATCATAGACTATTTAGATGGAAAAAACTTTCAAGGTAAGTCATCTGCAGTTCATTTGGTCAACAACCGACCATGTATTATTGTGCAAATTCTAATTTGTTTTAACAATAAAAATTCCCAGAGTCAGAGATCATGGTGAAAACTGAAAGATCAGAGAAGCAGAACAGCCTACCACTAGTTCTAATCTCTATGAAATCCTCAGGCAAAAAAGGAGGAGCTCCTGTCTCCTCCCGCCTTATATTTCTTTTCTCTGGCCAGCCATATCACTTCCTGTCTCAACCTCCCTAGTCCTGAAATGAAAGGCATGAGATCCCAAGTGCTGGGATTAAAGGTGTGTGCCACCACTGCTAACTAGTGGCTGACTTTGCCCTCTGATCTTCAGGCAAGCTTGATTTGCTAGAGAATACACAAAATATCACAATGCAATCTCATAAGATTATATTGCCTAGTGACATCATGGCCAGTTATATTCCTGTAATTTCTATCATGTTTACATAGTAATAATGAAATCATTGAATAATGCATTTCTCAGAATATATCCCTGCGATTATATGGCCAATGACTAATTTAGTGGAAAACAATAACAGTTGTATTCCCCCAATCAATTTTTCACCCATCCCTGAAATTCCTCACAGACTCGTTCAGTCACCATTTGTCCTACCACATGCTCCCACCGTGTTTATCTGCACATCTTGTTTCTTACATTCGACTCTCAGACCACATTTTGAAAATTCTGCTAGTTGTTTCATATACAGAAGACCCAGAGGTAATTCCAGCTGGATTATTCTTATTGTTTTAACTTGTAACTCCCTTTATTTTCTAAACAGGAGCAAAATTTATTGGAACATTCCCCATTCCAGACACTTATAATCCAGATGATGATAAAATATATTTCTTCTTTCGGGAATCATCTCAGGAAGGCAGCACATCTGACAGAAGCATTCTTTCAAGAGTTGGGAGAGTTTGCAAGGCAAGATTCATTTATTTTTTTTCTTAAGAACCGTGTCTATATGCATGAAGTAATTCATCTTCAGTGCTGAAGAAAAGGGGCCATTCATGACTGATAAAGTTGTAAGATGAGTTCACACTTCTATAAAAGTATAATTTTTGAGATGCAATTGTGAAAAAGCAAAAACAAGTTATTTTCAAATAGCAAATTTGATTTTCAGTTCTTGACCTGCTTCCCCGGCCTTGTGCACTGTTTGGCACTCTGCTGATGTCTCTGTGTCATGTCCCTGATATTTTCAATAAGATCACTCACTGTCCTGGTCCCCAAAGGGAAAATGTTCTCATGGAACGTTAGACAATCCTACCTTAAAATTGAAAGAACACTAGAGTAACTTAAACAATAACAAAATCATGTCTGTATTTTTATAAATACACACTACACATGTAACAACCATGTCTTTTGTTTGGACCAACTGAGTTTTAAATACAGTTATATATTCTTATATTAAATACTTCCTATGCCATTAATCTAGATTAAGTTCTGAGTGAAAAATGAAGAAGAAAAGATACCTAAAAGCATAAAATGTTTTTCTTAAAGAAAACTCCAATTATTCCTGAATATTGTCATTTTATGTAAATTATACTAACCACATTAACTGTTTGAGACACTTACACTTTGTTTCATCAAGGCTTTTAGTTGATTGACTATGGACTTTATAGACTAGAGACAGCACTTGAAGCCAAACTCTTCATGTCTGAATTTGTGTGTTCTTCCTGCCTTTGCCTCTGCTGAAATGACTTTCCAGAGGAGACATAAATCAGTTATGTGTAAGAGCCATTAAGTTAATAAATACCTTCTTCAGGAATCTTTCCTCAGCCTTAAACAAACTTTTCATTTTCTTCCATATAAGCCTGTCACTTTTTGTTTCTTTCTATGCCCTGGGGCTTCTGAACACTTCCAGGGACAGGAATACAAACCATCACCACACTTGAAATTGCTAATGACAACATGTCTTTTGAATGAAGCCGACTTGTGAGCCCAGACCATTCTTTACCTACTCTCCTAGCCAATAATGCTGTCTCTCCCACTGATCCTTTTCTCCCACAGGGCACAGATTCTCTCAAAGGCATCCTCGTTCTCTCAGAGTCCGAAAATCTACAGTCTTCTTTTAAAGCCTCCTGCTGGCATGAATGACCATGCCTGGAGCGCTCTTAGTGTGTCAGTTTACTGAAGCATGCCATATAACAACAGCATAATGACCCCGAAAGACACGCAGGAGATTGACACTTTGTGTAAGAGAAGTATGTTAAAAATGTCAGAATCAGTTTACAAGCAGTAAATGCATTTCATGAGTCTTTTTGAAAACTGTACGACAAGCGTGCTGCTTGAAGGGAGGTTCAGTGCTTATTTCTTAATGGATATAATCCATTTTACTGAAATTTATCTGTAACAAAGTAAAGGTTTTGTTCTGGTGTAAATGAATCATAAAGGTAGATGAATACCTCAATCCCTGTCACAGTTATAAATTTCTATATAGATGCCATAGGCAGGATTCCAAGCATTAACCATGGAATGTTCTTTTTAAGTTATGAAAAAAACCTCCTGCAAAAATGAAAAGGCATAAAAAATGCAGTAAATGAGTCTTCCCAACTTACAAAGCCTCTGAGACTACACAGTAAGATTCTGTTATCCTATTACCCTATCAATTATGAGATTAAATAAAGATGTGAAGGAAGAGTAAAGAAACAGAAACTTTTCACTCAGTGTGTCTCATCTCTTAATCATTCTTTTAACTGGATGACATTTTAAGACTGCTCACTATAGCTATGATCTATTGGTCAAATGCTCATGATGTCTGGTTCTACATGCTTTCTTTGCAATTTAATTACAGCACATCCAACTCATATTCATTGTTAATTTCTACATTATTTTCACATAAAGGAATTCTTCTGATATCATTTGCAATTTATTCTTTTTGTTGATATTTCCTTTATTTCCAAAACGTCTTAATATTATTTATCTAATTTTTCTCAAGTAATAATAAAAGAGCATCTTTATCGTGAAAGAGGATTGAGTTTGATAATAATAAAAAAAATAGTCTAGAAGAAAGAAGTAGACAGAATTACGAGTAAGCTGTGGAAGCCCTTCTGACTTTACCCGGTTGGCTCCAGCAGCCTGGCGGGCCTTGCTCCTGCCTGCTCAGCTCGTGTTTCCCACGGTCCATATTGGAAACACAAAGGTGCTATTCCTGCTGCCATTGTTTGCTCTCATATTTAACTAATACTTTGACACAAAAAGGTACTGTTGACAGTTTAAGAATTTTCTGCCTCTTTTGTTATTAAACTTGAAAAAATGATGTTATATTGACCTGGGAAATGTGTTTTCTTGACTTATTTGGCATAAAATTATTGGTAAAAAAGAGATTTTGGTAATAGAGTACTCTGTCTCTCACACACACACACATACACACACACACACACACACACACACACACACACACACATACAAAGATTAAAGATAATTCAAGAGAAAAGCTGATATGTTCAATATTATAATCCATTCATATATTATCTTTGAATATTTTACAAATAGCAATAAAATATGACTTCCCTACAACACATACTATACTGCTGATAACTAAGTTACCCTTTCTCAAAAAAAAAAAAAAAAACAAAAAACAAAAAAACCAAAAAACTCAAAGTACACTGAGATGTAGTTGGAAGTCCTGCCAGGCCCCTGCAGTCCCTTGTCCTGTTTATAAAATAATCACTCAGATGCTTATATTAATTACAAACTGTATGGCCACTAGCTCTGGCTTATTACTGACTAGCTCTTACACTTAAATTAACCCATAATTCTTATTTTTGTTTAGCCACATGGCTTAGTACCTTTTCTCAGTTCTGCCTTGTCATCTTGCTTCCTCTGTGTCTGGCTGGCGACTCCTGACTCAGCCTTCCTCTTCCCAGAATTCTCCTTGTCTGCTTATCCTGCCTATACTTTCTGCCTGGCTACTGGCCAATCAGCATTTTTTTTTTATCAACCAATTAGAGCAACACATTCACAGCATACAGAATGACATCACCCATCACTGAGGGTAATGCATATAAAAGATACTCATAACATGATATGACATAAATAGGAGATATGAAAACTCTAAGCTATCAGCAAAGTTTGAAAAAAATCATATGAAGAGAATGATTGAAATGAATCCTATAACATGAACAGGACTATCCTACATAGAGGAATGGAGAAAAGCATTCCATGCAGCATTTGTCAGGGTAAATCTTGTTCATAGAATGCTGAAATGTTATGTTAAAATTTAAAGCATGTGTCAGGGGAGCAATGACTTTGTTGTAAATTTGGTGATAAGAAGTCCTGCATGTTAGCAAGTGAGAACATGAACCTAGGTAATAGTGAGTTATTCAATATTTGAGGTACAGAGGGACAAGATGGATATATTTAGCTCACATTTGAAGAATGCATCTGGATTGAGGAATACTTGTGATTAGAATCCTGTCATATCCAATGTGGTATGAATAAAGACATGAAGGACTATTTAGGAGATATTTCAAATAGAATCTATTTGTATAGATATAAAGTACAAATAAATATCATTATCTTGATGGTAGATCAGTACAAGCTAGTGCAATCCATACTCATGGTAATGTTCTTATCTGTAGTATTTAATGCAGTAGTCACATGCCGTTATGTTGAAATATGGCTATTAAGATGAAGTACTGAATTTACAATGCTTCCTTGTTCCCATTTCTGAAATGATGTTGACCTTACCACATGATAAATAAGTGTCTCATAGGTAATATCATCCTAGATGATATTTGTCATACAGATAAGTACTCCTATATTCTTGGTAACTGGGTTTTAGGAGACAAGACATGGATCTTGACAATGCAGAAACAGTGCATTCCTTTATGAGAGAGGAAAGAGCCTGCATGTTATATTGGGACATGCTGCAGCTGATGTGACTCTGGAAGGTGTTAGCATATTCAGCTACTTAAAAGTATGAACTTGAGGCTCTCTAGAGTCTCACTTCTAGAGTTTGAAAGCTGCAAGGATATTGCTTTTGAGTCATGGAAATAACTGCAATTGTTCAGAAATAGTTGTAGGCAAGATGAAGCACAAAGATGGGATCCAAAGGGACAATAACAATTTTAAGAAAGATGTAAATGTTCACAAAAACAATTGGAGAGACTTTGT